TAGTAAAACCCTTTTTATAATCACGTCAAAGTCTGCAACACTTTACTAATAAAAACTTATAAAAAAACGCCTCTTTAGAAGCATATCATAGTAAAAACCTTTATACAATTACAATTTGCATGATACAGATTGCGTGATTATAGAGGAGGACGATTTTAGAAGGATTGGTTAAAATAAACGTACCATAAACGTCTTGAGAGTCTTTAGGTGCATTCGGAAAGATTCCAGTGAACACTAATTTTTTATAAGTTGAATTAAAGATTCTGAACAGTTGTTAAAAGAGAGCAGGGTTCATGTACATACCATATAAGGGAGAAGTACCAATATCACCAAATATAATGCCTATATTTTTAAGAAAAATGGTAAATTATTATTTTTGAAACTAGATAACGAATTTATCATAAATAGAAATAGTTACCTATCGATTTAAAAGCTAAGCTTAGAGTAAGTAAAACGGAGTTTCCCTAAATATAGAATTTTTCGAATTAATACAGTAAATGAATCTAAGGTTCAATTCAATTCGCCATTATAGGTGTGCACATTTAGAAATAAAATTTAAAAGTGTACTATGCATTCACTTTGTTTTAAAAGTTATTTCTACATTAGATATCTAATGCTAGAAATGAACGGAGCTTAAGTTACATTTTTTTTCGCTTAAAGCATTAAAAACATACCTTTTTTTTGTATTGGTCTTTGGCATTAAAATTACTATTCGTTTCATGATCGTTAATACTTTCAGACATTTTTTTTTTAAAAAAAAAATTAATTTTACGCATTCGTTATATATATATCTGATATCTGATATAGTATACGCATTCGTTATACGTATACGTATGCATTCATTATACGTATAACATATAACATCACCTCATATATATACGCTATCTAAATAAGGTTATATTTAATTTTTCGTTTGTTTTCGTTTTTTTCTTGGCAAATCAAATCTATGTGTTACAAACAGATGCATGCCGATAAAGCCCTTTTAGCACAATATTTCCTATCCGTATCCCCATTATTAATTACTAGAAGATCAGATGTCGATCTGTGCTACCGGAACATGATTTCTCAATAAGTGATTAACATGATTATTAAATAAATAATATCGGCTGAAATCGGATGATGCTAAAAATTTGGGGTCTCAATTTAAAAATATAAACCCACTAAAATCCACCTACAGTCAGACATCTCTAAGTGCACCTTATAAGTACACCCTCTCTAAATGCATACTCAAGTTCTGGCCCAAATATATACTTGACCTCTATAAATGCACTTTTCTTTTATTCTCTAAATGCACATTGTTAAAGTGTGGCCCAAGGACGTGCACTTAACATTTCAACATCATCCCCGACAAATAATAATCATAGTTTCTTTAACGTTAACCATTTCTTTTGATTTTCACAATCCTACCATGTCTCGATATTGTCTTGATATCACTTTGTACATCAATGGCAGTGAAATATATCAAGACCAATAATTAATAAAGTTAACGACATCGGATCGTCCGATGTCGATTAGAAAATGAAAGATGTTACGTAACGATAAGATCTATAATCTTCTAAAACAGGAATAGTGCACTTAAACAAATACGTATATAGTAATGAACTTTAATTGTACACCAATAACAGTGCTCGTCTCCGTTTGTATCTCGACGTTTACTTTATTAAGATAACTTGATAAGCTCTTAACTACTAAATTAAAGAAAATAAATGATGATAACGATAATAATTATGTTGCTTGAAATAATTTTTTTTTTAATACGTATTAACCTTGCAAGGCTTAATAGTAGATTGCTTTGTCAAACTTTATTATTTCCATTCACGGAAATGATTATTAATGTTAATTTTAATTTGCAAATAAGAGATAAGTAACGGTAAGGGATAAGAATGTAATTAAACCTTTTAGTTATACTTATTTATTATCAATGACGTCTATTTTATGTTTTATTTATTATCAATGACGTCTATTTTTTGTTTTATTTATTATCAATGACGTCTATTTTATGTTTTTGACAATTCATTTTAAGCATGCATGTATTAACGTACGTATGTACCTACGAGTTTTCTTTTGTTCCATTTACTAAATCAGGATTAGTTATCGTCATAAAACTATTCCTTTCTAAAATATGAATCTGTAAATCTAATCACAAATCATGAAAACTTTAGAATTTGGAAACAAATAGTACCTAATTCTAAATTCTAAAACGACTTGAGTAGGAAAATCCTATTATTATTTTTAATATATAATAAAAATATACAATCATTATAAATAAAGTTAGATATATTACAGGTTTTGCATACCAATTTCAAACATCTGAGCAATCAATTTCGAACATTTGAGCAATCAATTTCGAACATCTGAGCAATCAATTTCAAACATCTGAGCAATCAATTTCAAACATCTGAGCAAACATCTGAGCAATCAAATTTAGGCACCTGAGAAATCAAATTTATTGCGGTAATCACTAATTTCCGATTATTGATTTCCGATTTCTTCAACATTTTTTTTGACTTTTAGACTTGTGCATTTATTATTTGTAAAAATTTGATTGAATATTTTAATTCGCAACTCCTATTTCTGCAAACATATTACAAAATGAT